ATTGTGTCCTGGTTTGTTTGATAGTTAAGCGATTTGTTTACCTACTTGTATAATAGCAGGCCAGGGATCACGTAGAAACCCTTTTAGGGTATGACACCCAAAGTCTTATCGACCGGAATGACAGTTTGTGATATAATATTGTTATATAGTCTTTAGAATTGTTTCCATTATACATTAACACATTGTTACATTTTTACACCATAAAATCATAAGTGATATACGTACCATTTTCATTTCAACATATATTGGTAACATGATAGTAAACATTTCTTACATATTGCATTCATTAAACAAGTAAATCATATGTGAATATACATTTTATACCATTTTGTATGTTTTGCATGCTTTAATTGCGGAGAGACTTGTATGTAAATGGAATAATTAAAATAAAAATTAAATATTTATGATTAATGCATCTACATATATGACCTCATGGTTAATAAACGATATATGGCTAAATTTGGTGAGTGAGTGTCATAATTCATATAAATGAAATTGACCATGTTTGTCGTGACACTGTTTCATAATTTTACATAGATAAACGTGTTTCTCTATTTTGGTAAATATATTTATCCGTCATTTCAAAACAAAAGCAATAGTAACTTAGATATCCAGTATGTATATACGTAAAACATTAAAATTAACTGCTTAACATGATATACATAATTGAAAAAGTAAGAAAAAAAAGGCAAACACTTAAACAAAAAAGTCATTTTGACGTTCTTATATACTTGTATTGGCATATTATAAAATATTTTGTATATGAACATATGCAATGGGAGTTATCTTGTAACTGCAATAACGTTATCATGGCCTGATAAGCTTTTTAACAAAAATTAAAGAGATATGTTTGTTAATAATGAATAATTTGAACCACCTGTCCATGATCAAGCCAATGAATTTATATGTATAAAATGAAAAAAATAAATGATTTAGCTTAGGATGGGATAATTGCAATTAGAAGTTTAAATGTATTCGAAAAAGAAGCAAAATTATTATTTGAGCCGCGTCACGACAAAACCAACATAATGGGTTTGCGACCAGCATGGATCCAGACCAGCCTGCGCATCCGCGCAGTCTGATCAGGATCAATGCTGTTCGCTATCAGATTCTCTACTTGTTATAGGGTTTGTAAGCGAACAATGGATCCTGATCAGACTGCGCGGATGCGCAGGCTGGTCTGGATCCATGCTGGTCGCAAACCCATTATGTTGGTTTTGTCATGGCGCGGCTCATTTATAAATTGTTCAAAGGATATCTAGGTGTAAGGTAGAGACACCTTTGGCGCTTTACATTTGCCTAGTTTTAATTAAAATTTAACCCACTTTTATTAGTATTATGGAAAGAGATTATGAAATTTTAAGAATGAACAAACACTGTCTGAAACCTGAATTCCTCTTATTTATTGTGTTCCATTAAAATTTCATTTTGAATCAATACACGTTATTTATTTTACGTTTATTTCAATTAAATACTAAATTTCGTATTTTTCAAGACTTTATATATAATTATACTAATAGGTTATAAAATGAATATCTATCACTTTTAGTTGTAAATAAGTTGTGAAGTCAAGCATATTGTTGGAGTGAGTATTGATAAAACGATAACTACAATTTTCAGCTCTGTGGAAGGGTTTAGTAATGTAATTCACAAAGCACCTCTACATGAAAGACAGGAAAAATTGGCTAAAAATTTATTATATGTTGCAACGTTGCATGTTTTAATTAAAAGACAATTATTATTAACAGAATGAAGTCGGCCTTTAACAGTTTTCACAATGCATAAACCAAGTAGAATTCAGTGACTCACACTATCATGGTTAAAATTATTATTGAAAAATAGGTCTGAAAATCAGAGTCAATTTTAGAATGCCCATTGACGGACACTTATAAGCAAATCCTAAATATCGCCAAATGTTTTTGCTCGAATTTGCTAATTCCTTTCATTATAATTCTGCTTAAAACAATATTGACATGTAGGGATGTCAATAATTGATGAATACAAGAATACTTTTTATCGCCTTCATTTTTTTAAACTGAGTCCTTACATATTAATATCCATTTTGCTTAACCACTACGCTACCCGGGTCTACATGTCAATACACTATATTGCAAAAAAAAATGAAGATGTAATAATTGAATACCTTGCACATCCAATTCAACTGAATACTGTAAACGTTCTCATGTTCGACTTTAACTTTCATATCTATAAATTTAATTGGTTTAAGGTGACTTTTACACGATAAAATGGAATAAACACGTAAGGATCAATCGGAACATCTCGGCTATTATCAATATTTTCTTACGGAAAGGACCGATAAGATACGACGTATAATCGGGATCGAGGTTGTCACGCGGACAAGGAAGTACAAAGTTCAATTAACATTCGGTTGGAGATTCTTGATTTATTTATAAGGTATTCGATTTTTATATTCATTTTGAAACCAAAGAAAATAGAATGATAGTTAAAAATATATTTAATATGCTTTCCTTACGAAAAAGGTGCTAATCGTGTGATACATGTATAACTTGACTTAAAAGTTACAAAAGATAAACAGAGTAAATATTTGTCCGTTTCAGATGACTGCATTTACATTGTGTATATCAAGACACGAGTAGTTTTGCTAATGTGTCGGGTACACCGAATATCAAAATATACGAGATACGACGAAACTCAAAAGTTAGATAGAAATTCTTACGAATGGTCTTGAAAAATAAACATTGTCATAGATTTTTCATGAGGTTTAAAGTATATCTCAGCAACCGTATGCGTTATTTCACTTCTTCCAATTTGAAGTACAATAAATATATTTGTTCATTTACACAGAACTGCACAATTACTTTTTCACAATGCGTTATTTGCACGGCACTGCGTTACTAGATATTCAAGGTATTTTAAAGTGGAAAAAAAAGAAATATAGCTTTCTGACTGGCTGAAAACAATGTAGATACTATAGTATGTTATCTAAAATGGAAACTCCCTGGACATTTTAAATAGAGAACAAAATCTCCTCAGAAACCTTTAAAAACAAGTTCATCAAAAGCGTAATAAATTTTTCTTGTCACAATTATCGCATTCTTATTTCTTTCTCTCATGTGAACGGTGACTATGTGACGCTTCAAACTCTAAGGCATACTAAATTGTTTAGAGCAATGTGTAAGTATTGTGTTCCTGTTAGGTAATTGTGTGTGTACATTTTAAATGTGAAGTCTTAGTTTGTATACAGTGTTGTACAGCTTACTACTCATCCTGGAGTTGGGATAAAAGTTGGGATGAGTGTTTGATGAACTAGAAGTCCCTGCTTTTTCCAGGATATAGGGACCCGGTTATTGATTGACTGGCACATTAGTTTCTCTTTAAACTATTAGTAATGTTAGCAAATGCATATGTACAGTGTCACCCTTAATTATTTAAAGTAAAGATTCTCAAATTGAATTGTTAACAATTTATACATGTATCCAATGCTTTGATAAGGTAAAGTGTTCCAGGCCTTGGCCAATAAATTACTAAAATAAAAACAAATTAAACTTTAACATGTTTTAATTCAACTAAGTATCAGTTCCCGTGCACATGATGCATTTCATATTATGGTTACAATAATTGTTTAAAAGTAATTAATGTATTAATATTTACATTTTGTATGTAAATTAGTACATGTGATTGTTATTTTGGCTAAAAGGCACCACATAAAGCCACAGAAACAAATTAAAAAAATACTTCTTTAGAACTGGAAAACATGAGTTATATAATGTTAAATAATGGTTTAAGGAGAATGAAAGATGCTTGTCATCTAAAGAATGTAAAATAAAAGTAAAATAATGTGTCATAAAAGTAGCAAAATGTAAGGAAAATAGTATTTTGACTTCCATACAAAATAATAATTCACAATAATTAACGTATTGCCAAAAAGCAACCGATGAAAAAGGTAATGGGGATAATTTGCCAATGAGTAACTTTGTAACTTTTTGGATACTATTAAAGTACACCAACATTTAAAAGCTTTTGAGAAATGAAAATAAAATAATTTCTAAGACATAATGGGCTTGTAAATAAAAACGATTGCCTAGCATTTGTTAAAAAAATGTTATGTTAAAAGTGCAGGTTTTGATACATTGCTTAATAACTGTCGTTGATAATGTGATTATACAATCCTCATTCATTCTAGTAATAACTAGTTGTCTCATATCAAAATTTGATAAGTTTGACCTTAAAGTTGCATATATCATCAGGCAATAATTAAATAATTTATTTGGTAACACATCATCAAAATTATTTAATATTCTTAATATTTGAAGGCTTTGGTAGTTAGAAGTAAGCATGTGCCAATATTTTTTTTAAATAAAATATGTATCAACATTTTTATCATAATTTATTATTAGGTTTCTTTTGGGAGACATTTATATAATGGTTTCATCCCTATGCTGAATATAGATTTAATTCACCTCTTGACAATATTTGAAAAATTTTAATAAGAAATCAGCCAAGTCAGATAAATTTCTGGTAACAGCAATTTCATTAAAAGCGAACGAAGAACTTTCCCTCTCAATATATTACTAACGTTACAACATGTAAAACAATAAATGAATGAAAATATATTACTTTCAATTTTCAGACCTGGATTAGGAGACTTTCTATTGTTTTAGCCATCAAATAATGCACATTTTACACGTTTAAATTGTAGCTTATGCATGGCTGTCCAAGGGAAGAAAGCACCCCAACCACATTTGTCCTCCGTCATTGGTTCTGATGAAGACCTGGAGATTTATTGTCAACCATGTGACTTTGAAAGGACAAAGGCTTCCAGCTCATGGCTTTTGTACAGACTGCAAGAACACCTTTGCGAGACTTGCTATAAGCTCCATAAGAAACACAAATTTTCTAGAAATCATACCCTTGTAGACAAAGACAACATGCCAAAAAAACTACATGTACCGTCATCTTCATCTGTACGTTCACAAAAAATCTGATGACATAACCAAAGCTTGCTCGAAGCACCAAAAGGAAATGATCAAGTTTTACTGCCATGACCACAAAGAGTTGCTCTGTAGTGTTTGTGTGACACTCCAACATCCAGTTATATCATGCAAAGTCGACTACATACCTGACATTTCTGGACTATTTATAAACAGCGATGTCTATAATAACATATTAAGAACTATAGATAAAATATCTGACCAATATCAGAAGATATCAGAGGATACAAAGAAGATGACAGCAAAATCTGAGAAATCTCTGACAGATGCCTTGGCAGATATCAAAAAGTTCAGATATGAAATTAATCAACGGCTAGATGAGCTTGAAAGACAAGCGGAACATTCTGCTAAAATCCTCCAAGAAGAGATTGATAATAACCTAAAGAAAGTGGAGAGAAACTGTGAGGATGCAAAAACGTCTTTGAAGGTGGCGTCTGATTTTATTAAACATCTTAACACATCCAAACAAGAAGACAGATTATTCATGGAAATGAAGTTGGCAGAACAAATGATTGAAGAATATGAGGATAATGTTCAACAAGTAACATCATACAAAGTAGCAGAATATACGTTTCAAGCGAATGATGAGCTTTCAGACTTGGTAGTTAAGAAGGAAATAGCACTTGGCACGATATCTAAGAACTATTTGAATAAGGCAAAGACTTCATCGCCCGATCAAGATGAAGTTAGGCAAATAAAATTTCAGACGGAAATTAATGTGAAAACATTGAAAGATGAACAAAGGTGCTCAATATCTGGCATGATCGACTTTACTCCAGATCTTCTTATCATCACAGACTATAATAACAAAGCTGTTAAATTAGTTGACATCAGAGGACATTCTGTTGTAGATCAAGTACAAGTTGATGACTCCCCACTAGATATCACTTCAATAACCGGTACTGAACTTGCTGTCACAGTTCCAAATGAAGAATCAATTCAGTTTATATCAACATCTTCAGGCAAACTAAAAAAGAAACATATTATGAAAGTTAATGGAAATTGTTATGGTATAAGTTGTTACCAAGATAGACTACTCGTGTCATATGTTAAACCAGCAAAACTCGAAATTCTTGATACCAATGGAACTTTTATAAGAACTGTCCGTACAGAAAAAATCTTCGGCTTTCCTTTATATGTCACCGTTAACAATGGTTTGATTTGGGTATCAGACTGGCATTTGAAAGCAATTACAAAATTAAACTGGCAGGGTAAAGTGGTTGGTAGTTATGGTATGAATGAACCTTTCGGATTTACACTGTCAGATAAAGACACACTATATGTTTGTGATAAAGCGAATGAAACAATAGAAGAAGTGTCAGGAGACTGCTCTAAAGGAGGCATCCTCTTGAAAGATTTAAAAAAACCAAAAGCTGTCTGTTGGTGCGGAGAAACAGATATGCTCTACTTTAGCTGCAAAACGGGTGAAGCAAAGTACGACAACTATTTACAAGTTCACAAGTTGTCGTAAAATATTCATGAAATCACTGTAATAAAAAAGTACTGTTTAAAACAGCAACATTTAATTTCTTTCAAAGTAACCATGAAGTACAGTTTTTATATGTGTGTACGTATATTATTCCTATTGAAGGTAAAATACATAAATAAGCCATGTTCAATTACATTCGATTTTATTTCTGTTTTTTTTTTTAAATTGTACATAAGACTTTTAAGAATTAGATATAGTACTTGCATTGACAACTTATGATTGAAAGCAAACGTAAATAATTCTGAATATACATTTATCTATAAATTCTACGGTGTAGATTCTATATTACATTCAATGCACCTGTGAGCATATTACAATTTAACGTATTTCTATATTTTTGACTCATATGTTACTCATATGTAACTTGTTTTAATTTCTAAATATCTACATGTGTATTTTCATTATGTATACCAACAACTTGGATATTTATCATGTCCACAGCATTTATAAATCTCACACTTTGAATATCTAAATGTCAAACTTGCGGTTGACCTTTGTCTTTGGAAATGCCATCCCTAACAACATACACATGAACATTTTAGACACCCCTTATTGAGTCTTACTTTTTCATTTCTATTTATATATTTGATGTTGTAATAGTTAATGTTTCATTTTGTGTAATTTGTTGTAAAATACATTTAGATGTGCATATTTACAGAACGTTATTGTAATTTCATTTAAAAGAGGGTTTTTTATCTTCTTTTTAAATATCGAAACATAAAACAACAAATTAAACACATAGTGCATGTGTATTCTCAGTATTACTGAAAATCACATACATTTATACTAATATATATACGCTTTGTTGAGTAATTAAAATAAAAGATATGTATCAACCTTAAAACAAACCGGTTGCTATTGCCTTATTAATGACGTTGGATAATGTTTCCAAATATACCACCAATGCTACCACTTGAGCCGCCTGTACCACCAATAAAACCTCCAAAGCCTAAAGATCCCGCCTTTTATGGTCCGTACCCGTAACCCATGTTACCCATATCTAACGTCTATAAAATGTGTTTTAACCATACCTTTTTATTGAAAGTCAATATTGCATCTTACAAAATTAATGCACTTTTGCCAATATATATACTGGTATATGACATGATAATTCAAGAAGTATTTGTGAAATAATCATATAACGTGTCGGACTTGTAATCTAAGGAGTGTTGGTAACGTGGCTTCAAACACGGCCGTCAATGGCAAGCCGCTGTTTCCTTGGGAAATTGCTTAGTACTAGTGGGTTCGAAGAACGGACACGAGAGTGTTTTTAAAGGAAGATTTTTTGACGTGTTAGGGCTGGATACATTCTTCCGAGATTTGTGTAAAAATTAATGGACATCTGGACCATTAACTTAATGTCCTTGCCCCGTTTTTCCAGAATGATCATATTTAATGTGCACAATGACCTAAAAATGAAAACCATTGTCACGCCTTTCTCTCAAATCTGGCTAGAATCGCACAAAAAATCAATTAAAATCCAAGTACATTTCTTTGTTATCATTTGCAGAGTTTTCCATTTTAAGTGCTTCACTTGATATCTTTGATATTTTCAAATTTTATGTTTTTAAGCCTTTTGACCTCAGTTGAGTTCTTTTAAGTATTTAGGTTTATAACTTTCAAGACTAAAGTCTGTATAAACTAAGAAATCATAAAACAACTTGCAATGAAACGTTTTCAGGTGAATTCCAAAATGAAAGACTGGAGAGATGCATGAAATGCTGGCCAATTCTTGATGTCAAAAGGAAATATTTTGTTTTGTTGCTGCTTTGAAAAGAGAAATCATTAAAATATTTTTTGGTTCAGTTGTTACAACATGAACAGCAAGGAAATATATGCATGTACGTCATTTAAATCTTTCATTTTAGACAAAATACATATACGATAACTTGCCAATACGATTTGAAGGGTAGATTTAGTTGCTGCCAGCAGGCGAAAGGTAAAACTTAAAGAAAATGTGTACATTTTAATAGTACCAAACAATAAAACTTGTTCATGTTCCTAATTTTTAATATGCAATGCATGTATCAAATTCTTTTAATGCAATGAAATGAACATAACTATTTCATATGTGTAATATCATTACCACACTGTGTAATAACAATAAAAACGTCTGTTAGTTATATCGAGTTACTGTCCAGTTTTGTGTCCTATTGGGCTCCTTGCCTGTGGTCTTGTGTTGGGGGATGCGTTTATTGCTCTTCGTTGTTGATCTTGTTTTTCATATTTTGTTATTTCATCAAGTCCTGTAAAATAGATTTTTATCTTCATTATAATTATGTTAGATGTGTCTCTTTTTTTACTGATGTAAGTATTAAAAGACCTATTGAAGGTAACCTTTTGACCTTTTAAATTCAGAAAATAAAATATCCTGTAAGTATGTTTTTAAAAGTCAGAAATTGTGTCCTGGTTTGTGTGCAAACTAAAGATAGTTAAGCGATTTGTTTACCTACTTGTATAATAGTAGGCCAGTGATCACGTAGAAACCCTCTTAAGGTATGGCACCCAAAGTCTTATTGACCGGAATGACAGTTTATGATATAATATTGTTAGATAGCCTTTAGAATTGTTTACATTATACATTAACTTATTGTTACATTTTTACACCATAAAATCATATACTATTTTTATTTCAACATATATCAGAAACTTGGTAGTAAACTTTTCTTACATACTGCATTCATAAATTGATTAATAACAAGTAAATCATATGTGTCTATACATTTAATACCATTTTGTATGTTTTGCATGTCTTAATTTCGGAGAGACTGGTATGTAAATGGAATAATTATAATAAAAATTAAATACATGTACTTATGATTTATACATCTACATATATGACGTCATGGTTAATAAACGATATATGGCTAAATTTGGTGAGTGTTATAATTCGTATAAATGAAATTGACCATGTTTGTCGTGACACAGTTTAGATAAACGTGTTTCCCTATTTTGGTAAGTATATTTATCCGTCATTTCAAAACAAATGCGATAGTAACTTAGAGATCCAGTATGTATATGCGTAAAACATTAAAATTAACTGCTAAACATGATACACGTACATTATTGAAAAAAATAAATAAAAGAAAATAACTGTATTGGCATATTATAAAATATTTTGTATAATTATGAACATATGCAATGGGAGTTATCTTGTATATATATACTGCAATCACGTTATCATGATCTGATAAGCTTTTTAACAAAATTAAAATAGATATGTTTGTTAACAATAAATAATGTGAACCTACTGTCCATGATCAAACCAATAAATTTATATGTATAAAATGAAAAAAATTTAATGATTTAGCTTAGGATGGGATAATTGCAATTAGAAGTTTTAAAGTAATCGAAAGAGAAGCAAAATTATTATTTATAAATTGTTCAAAGGACATCCCGGTGTAAGGTAGAGACACCTTTGGCGCTTTACATTTGCCTAGTTTTAATTAAAATTTAACCTACTTTTATTAGTATTATGGAAAGGGATTATGAAATTTTAAGAATGAACAAACACTGTCTGAAATCTGAATTCCTCTTATTTATTGTGTTCGATTAAAATTTCATATAGAGTCAATACACGTTATTTATTTTACGTTTATTTCAATTAAAATTCTATCCGAAACGTTCTTAATTATTTTTATCTACTTTACTTAACTCAGATATTCAAATAATAAGCGTCTCCGCTGCATTCATTCAAATGTACCAAAAACAATTTCGCTGTTTGGTATAAGAGAAAATTCGTTCAGGATAATAAAAATATATTTGTATTATCTTATTTGAATAAATCACATATTGGGGCAATCTTGTTTCGGTTACCTCCCTTTGTCTATTTTACCAAGCGTTTAGAACTACTCATGATCTCATACAGTAAAACTTGATCAATCACTATAAATCAAAGTAAATACTAGTTTTTCAAAGCTACATATTTCAGATTAAATACATTTTAACTTAATTAAACTATTTCATATTAAGTACGGTATTTGATTTTCTGTACAACGTAAAAGTATATGAAAATGTATTTGGTCATAATTATGTTTTTATTATTTCACTTATCAAATTTATAAAATAAGTCTGCAATATTCGTAATGTGTAAATGAAATGGACAGAGGATATCTGTATATTATTTCCGGCATTTAATTAAAAAGGTTAAATTTCTTCTTTTCAACCTGTTGCATATAAATGGTATGCGGTTTTCTCTGTTAAGTGGCTGAAATCCCCCAACACCTATCCCTCCTTTCCGCTGCATGCCTTTTGATCTCCTTTTTACATTTAAATCATCAACCAATTCATGATTTTTATTCAAACATTATTATAAATAATAGTCATCCAAATTACAAATTATTACATTTTTTTCCGAAACATCATTGTAATAAATCGTCCTTAAATTATGTAACAATCTTCCTGTTTGAACTAAAGGCTAGAACACACACATATACAACAATCCTATAACATTCAAGTTACAATTCAGACGAAACCACACAAGTTTATATTGCCGTCGACGTAACTTTATACTCCTATGAAACTTGCCCACACATTTCGTTTGAACCTGGTCCGTTTTCTGTCCATACATTTTCAATCATGTAGGTCCTTGATCGGAGTAATCCGCGAACGTTTCGACGAGGGTGGCATTCAAAGGTGTACGGTTAATCTGTGGGTGGTCTAAAATCATCAATACTTGCTTTTGTTTTATACATATCTGCTACCCCTTCTATCTCATTAAGATCTCCAATAATCATAACGTCTAAATCTCATATCTAATGTTTATCCAATTAGAGCGAGTCTATCAACCATTTAAATGTAGTTATTCAATACCGATAGTTTGTATTTTGCCATCTAAAGCCTTAAAGCCCACAGAATATAATTAAATCTTAATAAGAATATCAAACCCTTAAGACATGAATGGAAGCTTCGAGCTTTATTTATATTTCATATTATACCTATTATGTATCATGCTCATCAAAAGATGTACATTTTTAAGAGTCTTTTTTGACAAATTAGCATTGCAACGTTGTTTGAAAAGGCCACCCATGTTTTCAATGTTCTGGGGGAATATTCGCACTGTACTGAAATGTTTACAGATGAGGAATGATTATCAAGATGTATAGGAAAGTTTTGATTAGATTTACAATGTTTTTGCCATTTTATTGGTTATTTACAACCTTAATGAATTCACCATACAAATAATCTTTACATCCTTAAAGAGGGTACAATAATAATCCGCCACGTGCTTTGGCATAAATCGTGATTGGCTAGAAAACTAATAAAAACGTGGAAGTGATGTGCTAACAGATAAAAGAATATTTAGGTATTTATGACTTTTATTTTATTGCCTTCGTTATGTCTTATCAATATTTAATTAATATATAATTCGGTTAAAATCATTTCTTAATATTGCATAGCTTAAAACATTTGTAGGCAATTAAGTTATTGTGTTAAAATTTTGTATTATATTACAGGTTCGTTAAATTGGAAAATGTTTAGAATTACTTTTTCTAATTTTTTTTTTCATAGTTTGATTTGTAATCTATAGTTGGTTCATTTTCATAGAAGCTACCTGTTTGAAATGGTGTACTTATTAACAAAACACTTATAGAAGGAATTTAATTATTAGCATTTTAATTATATGTTTTACGAGTAAGCATTTTGATTTATTATTTAAAATCATGATGTTATAAAATCATAGATCATGATAAAATAAGGGGTGCAAAGATTTCATTGCGTTTAATTAAAATAAAAATAAAAATGTTAATCTGTATATTCCAGTTTAAATTATAAAAATCTAATTGAAAAAATATAATTAAGCACTTAATTATTACAG